AAACATTAAAACACCTGCGGCTTATAGTCCAGTGCGGCTTATATATGTACACATCATTCAATTTAGCTGCTGCGGCTTATATTCAGATGCGCCTTATAGTCCGAAAATTACGGTATATTGGTTATATAATATAATTATACAACCTTAACAGTAGTAGCAGAATAGCAGCTTACCGCGTTCCAGAGGGAGAGCTGCCTCTCACTCATTCGGCTGAAACCTGTGGTGAGGATGTTGCCATCAGCCAGGAAGATGGCCCTCATGGGTCGAGCCCCATCATGGGCCTTCTCCTTCTCCTGTGAAGACAAGTTCACAGGTCAACACTTGCTCTGTGCTCAAGTCACTATTTCCTGAGCAGTTTGTTCTTACGTCCACTAGAACTTGAGTTTCTTTTGTTGAACACAACACTACACAAAGCACAGCGCATTTTGTTCGGCTCGATCTACAGAGGTTTCTCCTAAAGGTCACACTCAATAAGCAGTAATCCAGTGTCAGTGTCATACTTAAGAACAAGTTTAAGTAAATAAGTTAGCTGAAGGCAGCCCATCTAGCTTAATAATTGTCGCTATGTTTAACCCTCTCACTGAAAGTGTTAATATTTAACTATCATATACAATGATATAAAAGAAGATGTGTCACAGCAACAAAGAAATGTCTGAAAGGTTCTTACGGCGATAACCGTCTCCTTGCGGGGGTCGATGACACGGATGGCCTTGTCCTTGCAGGAGGTGCAGATCAGGCTCCCGTTGCGGTTCCATGTCGCGCTGTAGATGACATCCGGGTGCATGTCTTCCAGGTTGATCATCGCCTCTCCTGTGCCCACGTTCCAGATGATGATCTGGTTGTCGCAGCCTAAAGAGTGAAGTAAAGGAGAACAGGATAGCAGCGCATTTAGTAATAATAATATATTACTTTTGGTATTTAAGTAAATGTTGATGCTATTAGTTTTGCACTTTTAGTTAAGTAAGATTTTGTGTGCAGGAATTCAAGATTCAAGGCTTTTATTGTCATTCGTACATACTAGCTACAGTGTAGTTGAGTTGATGAAACTCTTAGGTCACAGCCTCCTCCAACTATAGTACTTCTACTTACATCAAATATCAGAGTACTTCTTACACCTCTGGTTTAAATGCATTTCATACATTTAAGAGAGAACTTTACCGGCACTAAGAAGGACATTGCGCGCTGTCGGGTGCCATGTGATGATACCGACACGCTTGGAGTGGCCCTCCAGCACCACCACTGGTTCAGCCATGGAAGTGACGAGGCCATTCTCAGGAATCTGCCACACCTGTGGGGGACATGAAGAGGAACCAATCAGAATCCCTTTATTCGTACCACAGGGGGGGAAATAAACATTCAAATTATGTTTTATTTATGAAGCACATTTAAAAACGATTTTTGGTTACAGCTAAAGTAAAGCATGTAGAATGCAGAGTGGGAGACATAGAAGTGAAATTATATATTTCACAGATTTACCTACAGATTCTTGTTACCAGCCAGTAATAATAATTTCAACTAGGTAAATATTGCACACAAGTGTTAATGCTCAGGAGTGGTGTCGCAATCTTTTTTTTTTACATTATGTTTTATATTATTTTACATAAGAGCTCAGCCACAACAAATACATGTAAGCCTGCTGGAGAGACACTCATTGTTAGCCCGTAAATCTGACAACAGTATACATTCTAAAATATTTCATTATGAACCCATCAACCCCACCCTACCCAATGTTACTGCGGAACACATCAGTGAATGGTAGTTATCAAAAGGAACAGAAGGGGGCAGCAGCGGCTAAGAGTTTAGTCTGAGTTAGTGACAGATGGGATACAGAGTTAAGGTTTAATATTATCACTAAAAATAGTACAATGTTAGTCCTGAAAAACAAGATAAACGAAGATGGAGATATCGTGTAGTTAACGTAATCTCAGTTGTTATCTGCATTATGTGTGTTTCTGTTCAACACGGACACTGATGTTGATTGTGTCGACTGGCCTTCAAAGAAAAACCTTTTTATTTTGTTTTCCGAGGTGTTTAAAAGGATGCCTGCATTACCGTCTCTGGCAACACTTTAGTTTCCAACCAAACCATGTCCAAAATTGGACTAATTGATATGCTCATATTTTAAACAACAGCACTGTTTTAAATGCAGTGAGTTGTGCTGATCTCCATTTTGATTTACATTCAACTTTATTTGAACTTCTGACAATTTAAGCCCATTCCAAATAAAAAAAATAAAAAGAGTGAAGCCACGTCTAAATCTGATTCATATCTCTACCCGTCGACAAATATAGTGCCCACTGGCACTGATCTAAACATCACCAAGAGCCTTTTTAGGCTGTGGAAGTTCCCTTTAAATATCAAATACTATGAAGAGAGGAACCATTGATGGTCCATTAGTTCTGCACACGTGAACTAAATATGGCATTGATTCAGAGTGGGTTTAACAGGAAGTCAGGACTTTCAGGTGAGGAAGTGGTAGCAGCAAACACAAACAGGCAGCACACTTATCTCAGCCCCTTCAAGGTCCAAATAAGGACATATGGAGGAACGTACAACTACAGTCTCAAAAAAGTCGGTGACCTCAGCTCAATAAACAGCTAAATCATTCCCCAGCTCTGATTCCTACAACACATATTTGAGTCTAATCTAATCCAGAGGGTGAGGTCTGAACCCATCTCGTAGTTACAACAGCCGGGCCTTTTGCAATAAAAGCGTGTAGTCTCTTGTCACTTATCACCTCAAGAATGTGCGTTGCATTTTTTCACAATTAAGAGGTCTGAGTTCAGGTGCAAAGGGTGCGGCAAACCTCACCATCACTGTGCAGTCCTCCGAGCCGCTGGCGATGACCTGATCATTGTGGGGGCACCAGTCGATGTCTAACACCGGGCCTGTGTGTCCACACACTGTGGGGTAGGATTTGTCAATGCGTCCCGTCTGCAGAGACAAAGATAAACAACAGAGGTTAATGAGATTAGTCTTAGTGTGCTGTTGCACAAAGAACATGGTCTATGTTGAAGGAGTGAGCATGTTTTGAAACGGGTCAATAACAGTATTGCTAATCTTAGCAACATAAGTAAGCTCAAACAGGCTATAGCAAAAAAAAAAAGGTTGAATGAAACTGATCCAATCGTCATGAGCAGCCTTCACAAAGAATAAGAATTTACAAAATGGCAGACTTCACAGCATTTACATTAAAATACGCCAAGCCATTTCATTCGTTTGTAGTCACTTGGATAGAATGATGAGTATATTCAAAGAAAGCATAACCAATCATGTAACAACACTGTTTAAAATATTTGAAGGCAGAACAAAAGTATATTGGAAACGAGTTTTGGATTACACAACAACATGACATCACACATTTGCTCCAACATTTCCCCCCAGTCGGGTGGAAGCACTTTGAGAAGTGGCTTCAGAAAGATAATCAGATGTGAGGGGAAACCCCAGTCCCACAAAAACTACGTCCAAGATTTCAGATTTACAGTTTTAGTCTTCCAACACGGCAAAACAAACTGCCTGAAACCAGCAATTCATCGCTCAGCAAAAGAGAAGCTAGGGTTTTATCAGTGGTAGAAGCAAACCGAGATTAGATTTAGCCCACGCATAGTAATTAAGAAAAGGTATTACTGGTGACGTCATTATACAGTAGACACATGCCAACAGATGCTTAGTTTTTCACAGCATGGCTTTACTTTCAAATGGTAACGCTGTATCTAACTCTAAACTGTTCCCTTTACATAACCTGCTTATATAACTAATGGACTGGACAGGCTACGAATGCATTTCTGATGCACACAAACAGAATCAGAATACCTTTACGGAGGGGAAACTTGCGTAGTTACAGCAGGAAAAAGAGCCACAGACAGCTTAATGTTATATATGTTAAATATGTGACAACCCTCAGTTATACTGCACATCTTCCTCTATCCTCCTATAGGCAGCACGGCGCTGGATGTAAACTCTGGATCCTGTGAGCCAGGAAACCAGGTGCTCTGTTCAGGCTGAGGTGACCCAACAAACCCAGGCTGTGGTGGACGGTGTCTGGGACACACCCTGCTCTGTGTTGACTTCAACTTCCACCGCAGGGCCGGAGGGATGAGGTCACTTAATGTGGAAAGAGTCCTGCTGCTGGAGCCCTATTTAAAGCACGATGGCTTCCTTAATACAAAAAACAAACCACCACTCACTGCCCACAGCTATTCTGCCATTATACGGGGGATTGCAAACATAATGGCTTGAGAGGAGCAACAGAAATCCCAAATTTGTAAACACAGAAATGAGCAAGAGCTTCAACTAAAAGTGACTTTAACCTCAAGAACACATAACTCAAAGTAATTACTAATGTTTATCCAAACAACAGATGCAAGCATGATTTACGATGACGGTAAAATACACATTTTCAGTTGACGCAAGCAAAATGCATTAGACTTCACCAAACTCCAATCCAAATAAAAAAAAGTTATGTAATTGTTTGCGTTTCTTTTGGACACTTTTTTTTTTAGTCCATTTCCTGTTTTAAAAAAGAAAGCTTTTTCATAGCCTTGTCTTCTCCCTTTGCAATTTATATCTTCTCCACCTGTTGTTGACATAAAACAAACCAGTGAGCTTAACAATATGGTGCAGCACTTTATTCAACAGAAGCTTAAAAACAAGCAACATTTATATCATTTTGTCAAACAGCTATGGGGTGAACTAGCAACAACTGCTCATCTCTATAGTCGGGGAGATCTGCCACAAGAGGCAGAGCTACTGGTGTGAGTAAGTGACAGTCTCCCCCACTCAGAGACCACGCTCACCCCAAATTGTACATTTCACTTTAGCAGCCAAGTGATTACATGCATCTTTAAGCTTTAAGAGTGTGAGATAAATACAGAAAGGAAGTGCAATTCACCGTCGGCAGCACATTGTGACAATGTTTAGCATTTCAAAAGAGCAAGAAATAAAGAGAGAGATTTCTGAAGCAAATAAAACCATCAACTGTTCACTTGGATAACGGAGAGATAATGGAGAATCCAAGAGAATGGAGCTTTTATATCCAGAGGTTATTGTTAACGACAATACTTTAAACTCAGAGGCCGATAAAGGTTACATTCATTCATGCTAAACTTATGGCCATGTATACAAAACACAGTAAACTAGGTATTTGTGACAAGGCTTGACAACACTTTGACTGGATAGGTGTATAATACAGTCCATCAGTAGTGATGTATTTAAGTCCTTCCGTGTAAAAATTGACTTTTGTTAGTTTCTAAGAGGAAACACATCTTGAATCTCACTTGAATCAATATCCCCCTGCCCTAGAACAAAACAGAGTAAGAAACAAAAGCCAGAGGCGAGCAGAGGATGGTGATCTGGGCTCAGAGGGACAGTCGGGTCCCGGATACGAGTGTCATGTTGCTCAGGCGTTCCTGCTCTTAGACAGTTTCTGTCTCTGCTACAGCAGATAAAGAGCACTTCAAGTCTGCTGCTGTCAGAGTGCACATCCACAGTGGTGTGACTGTAACACCAGTAACATGAGTCATCGCTCAGTTCATATTCGTTGAGAACACATGCGTAAGTTAACAGAGCAGCCCGACAATGGCTGGACATCAGTACAAATGACAGGAAGCAACTCTGCGCTGTATGAAAATATTAGGCCCGTAACCATGCAGTCACCTGACTGACAGAGTTGGGCTGTGACACATTCTGCAAGTTTAGTGATCAAAGTCCAGCGTATGTGAGAATGAACTCTGCGTGCGTGTACGTGTAGTATGTGAACATCACAAGATCTTGTCTAAACCTCACCTTCACCGCTGAACACACCCTGAAATATACCCCGTGTAAAAACCGTAGACTTTGACACTGCTGTCAATAGGGATTTATGAGCCACCGTCCAGTATCAGATAACATTCCCATTAAATATGAGACTGGTGACCTCGCCTCTGCAGATGAATCAGTTTTTTAAATGTTCATTTGAGTTGATCACAAATCATGATATATTTGCATTACGAGGCAGACATGATATTGTCTGCCTCATAATGCAAATATAGTAAGCAGAGAGACGTGTATTACTTCAGAGTTCAGCAGACTTTTTTTCTGGATGTGATTTCCTGAAGACAGTATAGGAACAGGATGTCATTAAAGCAGGAAGGACCCACACTGATGACCAGGTGTAGCAACAGGGACAGCATTAGCAAGTACGACAAAGAGCAAACTGATCGCTAAGATAACACTAGCCAACTATTCAAAGTAAAACGCTTTAGTTTCTTCATTAACAGTGCATTTATTACTTCCCATTTGAAAGATCCAAAGTGAAACAGGTCATGCTCAGTCTAGTTAAAACATGTGCACACCCACAAAAATGCATGACACCCAGAGTGTTTTCAAACCAGTTCTGTCATGTCTATACCATTTCAACATCAATTGGTGCCGTCTACTATGATACATTACCAACGGATGGGTGTTACACTATGCAGATTCAATGAAACACTGTGCTTCCAGATGTTTACTTGACTGCTATAATGCTTTAAAATGACATGCAAACATAGCTTCTGGCTTATGTGTAAGAGAAGGAGGGAGTAGACTGCGACCAGGCATTTTCACAGTTAACTACCAACGTACCGTAAAACGTATTTATCTGAATCTCAGAAGTGACCTGGTGTGAGAAGGCGTTTACAGACGAAGACTTCACTATTCTTGCCTATACAAGCAATTAGAAATATGTGAATAGAACATTTATGATAAGCATATATTCATGTTTTGTTAGCGTCCATGCAGAGACTTGTATGAGAGAGCTCGCAAAGATTAAGATCAGCTACGAGAGCCAAGCAATCAGCCTTTAAAGCCCAACACTTCAGAGATTTCACAGCACATCCCGCATGTTACCTCTGGTTCAGGCATGCTGCAAATATTCCAACACCACCTCTTGCATTACTCTCAGTTTTCCATCAACACTATTTGATCACCTGCACAAACGAAAAAATTTATCTTATGCTTAAAATCTAATTGGTAGCTTCTACGGTTGAATTGCAGCAACACACCATGAAGCCCCAGTACCTCTTTAGCTAAGCTCCTTGAGGTCGAGCTCCTGATCAACCCGGGCTCGGCAGAGGAGACGACAGTTTGACCAGAGAGCAAGAGGCGTTCTTCACATTCCTCACCTCGGCCCCAGGCAGCTCTGTTGTGGTATGACCAATGTGAGCGAGAGGGGCGCGAGGGTGTCAAATGTAGCACCCTTTGAGGTGTTAATGGCGCCCATGTCTGATATACACAATTAGGAATTCAGAGTGTGTAAATTGCCTCGAGCCAGCATAAACATCTGATAACACAAGACTGGAATGGAGTTTGCATAGAGTTAGATCTTTGTAACTGTTAACACTGACAATAAACAGGTTAACTGAAAACAACAACCATGAGGTGGAGCCGTGCAGGACAGTTCACCTGTGGCAACTTGTTACATTCTCCCTTCTGTCCCTCTCAAAAGAAGAGCTTGAGGCTCGTTCGCAAGTCTGTATATGTCTAAAAATGAGGCAAAATGTCTACCAGAATGTGGTGCACATACCACAAACACAAAGAGATCAGGAGGGCCAGAGACACGGTGATAAATGACGTGAATTAATCCCAACTTCATGAGGTCTCTAATTGTACTATAGACTTAAGACATGCAGGCAGGTGAACAGCTATGTCTGTCAGTAACGTTACACTTTCTCAACACAAACAAAGGGGCCGAAACAGACTAAACCAGCTAAGCAAGAAAATCATCTCCAAGGCAACAAGCCTAAAGGTATAGAAAGTGTGCTTAGCAAGACTGACAACGTGAAAATGATTTTGTCAAGAACAAAAAAAATGAATTCCGCTGAACTAATGCAAGAAAAAAAAGAAACCACCCACAGCAACAGCAAGGGGCTAAACTCAGCCGTTGAATACCTAACGTGTCCATAACTACACACTACAGACATTTGTATCCTTCGAGAGGAATGTCTGACGCCTAGAAAAACAACCAGTTGCATAGCAACAAGCAAGACTGCACAAAATAAGTGAATCACACAGCAATAGATACAAAGCCAAAGACTGGAACAGAACAGAAATGGATGAGCGACATCCCTCAAGGCAGTAGAGGACATTCTTTTCATTCACACAAGAGGCCTGCACACTTCCTTTCCTTGCAGCTCAACATGTGATTCACACATGCACACCACTAAAAGGGTCTGTATGCTGTCCACTGCTGCTCAGAGCTCCATGGAATTGTCCATCTTTATACGTCTCTGTCTGTATGATAGGGCAGGAACAATACAGCAAAACCTCAGCTATATATAGATGGAGCAGAGAAAACTATATGGACATGTACTACAGAAGCACTGTATATTGCTGGTGGCTGGTATTGATGGCTAGTGAAACTATATGATAAGATGAATCCCAGATAGCATCTAAAACAAGTCTGCTATTTACCACTACTTAACTGGTAGCTCTGCTGCCAGTTTGGAACTATTTGGAGCAGCTGAGATTTTAAAATCACATCTGTTTTAAGTATCTAATCTAAAGGCTCTGACAGCACGAGCTATCTGCTCACAGGAGACTGAACAGTCCTGGCTGGTGGTTGCTGATGACACAGGATCAGTAGTGATTAGGTCCATGCAACATCGAAGACAAGAAATCCTATGAATGTCGGCAGGGCCTTTAACTTCCGCCATCTCTTTGTTAACACTGCACTGAGGAGATTTTGATATTCACAAACATTTATTTCCAGAGAGTACTTGGAACATATGAAAGGCAGCCTACTGAAAATGATTGTTTGTGGAATGTGTGTAACGGTGGTTAGTTTGTGATTGAATTGCTCTTATCAAGCAGACTCTAAATGCATCAAATGATTGAAAAGGCATTGCAGACACCATCTGCTGTGTTTGAGCAAAAAGAAAGTCGGATTTATTTTAAAAGGAGCCATCAGTGCTCTAAGCTCTGTATTCATAGATTATAAATAGTATTCAGTTTACCAGCAGTCATACAGGCTAGCACATTAAAGTAAGTATTCTAATATGGCACCTCATGCAGTGAGTGATTCTGTGACACAGACAACATCTGACTTCAACCCAGTTTTCTCATCCTGGCCGCTCTTCATATTTCAGCCTATCCCAGAATTCACATGTGTGCCGACACTGCTCGAAGCAGCCAATAGCAAGGCAGGGAGGAAATGGTCTTGGAAGCCTGTCAGGCAGGGAGCAGTGAATGACCATATATGGTAAAATCTGCAGTCAGCAGGACTGAGCGGCAGAGGCGGCAAAGGCAGAGGCAACCGAGCAGTATAGAGGTCTTGGAACACAAGCTGACCAAAGTATGGGGAAAGACCCTGGATACCAAGCACAACCAGGGTCTTTTTGTGATTATAGACAGTTAGCAGCGTAACTGGGAGACAGAACAGAATGATTGTGTCGATGTGCACACCCAGGGATTACTTACAGCAAAGGTTGAGCACTGGATGAATGGTGCTTTGAAGGATTGAATCCAAATCAAATACACACTCCACATCTGATCAACCTTTCAGTACAGAGGCAGCTTTTGAAAGTGGAACATGCCATCTACATGAAGTAACACGCTATGCACTGTGCTATGCTGTAGTCAAGGTCAATCTTAAAAAAGAAAAGAGACTAAGAGGAAATGAAAGATGCTTACAATTGACAAAGTGAACCGTCTGCATGGAAAATAAAATGCTGATGGTTAAAAAACAACTGCATGCTTAGATACGTTCTAGTTAAGGGATTAAAAATCACAGTAATGATTTACCGAGACTTCCATTCTCATGTGCCGAGCAGACGGAGAGGAATTATCAGGAATGTTTCACTGAACACTTGCTAGCCGCATTCACTCCCACCGCTTCCTTCATATGGAAATCAGGGAATAAATTAGCAGGCATCCTGCTAAGAAAGAGAAAGGAGGAGATTGAAAGCATGAGGCAAGGGGATGACATGTGTTGAGCTGGACATCTGATGCCCTCTCTATAAATGCCTGTGTTCTGACAGGAGGAAGCAACAATAGCCATGGCTGTGCTGAGTCACAGCGGCCTGCCGCACTAACCTCACCCTCCTGAGTCACACAAAGCATCGGCTCTATTGCTTGACAACCTAAAATGAGGCTCAGACCTCAAGTCAAGTAACAGACCCATGACATCAACCTGCGAACTCCAAGAGAGGCTTTTCCAACCATTTACCATTTTTTGAAGTGTAATCATTTCAGCAATTCTTCCTCCTCCTGTCATTGCATCACTTCAACAAAGCGATGCCCAGTTGCATATGGGTTGATTGTAAAAGGGGGAAGGAGCATCATCACACTTCTGCCTCCCCCCAGCTGAAGTGTGGTTATGACAAAGGGCTGCGCTGGGAGTAAGCACGGGACAAAGGGCCTGAGCAGCTGGCTGCCCACAGAGACTGGGAGCAGCACAGCCCGGGCAGATGGGTGAGCCGGACAGATGCACCCTCACATTAGGGATGGGAGGGTGGGGGGTTTAGGGGATGTGTGCCCTTGAAACAAAAATGAAATGAGGACCAGGTGATTTTAACAAAGTGTTCTTCGATAAGGTTTAGAGCAGTATCTACAAAGCAAAGCTACTGTATGTCAGACAAAAGATAATAAAGTACAACACACAGTCAGCCCAATAACAAAAGCATTATGATGCATATACAAATAATTGTGTTATTTTTCATTTAAGAGGATACAATCCTTGTTCATTCAGTGTATTAAAAATGATCTTGTGCCCTTAAAGCATTTGGGCGTTGCTGATCCACTGCAGTGTGCTCTCTAGTCAGACCGGCTGCATGGGACAGGATCATCCCACTTTTAAGACTTGCATTGCAAGCTGAGGCTACACTGAGATTTCCAGATGGACCAACGGAATTCATTTGAGAAAAAGTGATTTGTTTTTTTAATTCCCATTGATTTAAGATCCAAAATGAATGTTGTTCCAATGTCCCAACAGCTAAACTTTTCTTTGTATGCTAGGCTGCTGAACTGGTTTGTTGGGAGCACACACTGCCCAAAGCATTGCATACATACACAATTAACATACTATTGGTCTTAAACAACATGGCATTCCCCTTTCAGCTCCAGTGTCTGACTGCATGGCCTGTTGAAATGAGGAAAACACTCAATCTGAAGGATTGTTCTGTCACGCCTGCAGTCTGGATATGATGGAAGATCTAAAAAAGCTTTTTCAATCTCTCACTTGAGGAAGTTGCCTGAGGTTTGCTCTGCACAGAAAGACCTCAGCCTCTTACTACTTTATATTTCAGTGGTGAAAAATAGACGTTGTTCGGTAGACACACCAATGCTCTCCTGGGATAGGACGGGCATGCAGAGCTCATCGAACAAACAGAGACAGGGGCAGCAGGGATGTGAAACTGGTGGAGCATGCAGCCCACCACCACAAGCTCTGTGTGGAATGAGGTGCTGAGAGGTGTAAGCTGTGCGATGACAGGCCCAAGGATCCGGTCCCCTATGCCAGAGCCTTCTCAGATGACACGGGACCGACTGCTGTGCACTAATTACAGGCCCAGGTTACAACTGTCAACAGTATTGCAGTACTTATGTCACTCAGTGTCAGGACCTGCCACTTGGCTATTGCTAAGAGCTGCCAAAAAGAAACAACAACAGCTAGCAATTCACCACCATCAAGCATAATGGCACCCAAGGGCTCTCTTGGGGACAGGCCATAGCCCCCTGTGGGATACAGGGAGCTCTTTAGTGCACCTTAATTAGCCCAATTATGACAGCAGGGGTAAAACAAAAGTGAGGAGCTAACTTGTTTACAGTTGGAACAGTTTTTAAATGCTGTCTTGCCAAACCAAAAGTCTTTCTAGAGTGGAGTGATTCCTTATATGGAGGCAGGGATCAGGTTCGCTCCAGGGCTTTGGAGTAGTTTCTGTTGTACACATGAGGGTGTATAAAACAACTTAGGCAAACATTAAGCCTGAGGGACACCGGCACCAAGCCAGCAGTTCGAGAGGCTAAGTTTTCAATGCAAATGATTATTTAACGTGAACAAAACATGGAAAAAGGAAACCCTTGATTGTTCACGTGTTTGTTGTGCTTCAAAACATAGATGTTCATTTCACCCCACACACACACACACATCACAGTTTTGGATGAACAGACACTAAACTGACAATGTTGTCCTTCTTATAAACATCTCATTCATGTACAAAATAAACAAATCAAGACATAGTAGTGTAAACAGTAAGAATAATTAATAAACTATAGGGATTCATCAAAGCATTGTTAGGCAGCATGTGCTACTGAAAAAACAAATGCAAACAAGCCTACACATTTTGTTTATCTCACTAGTTGTCTTAATGGCATTAACTACTAGGACATGATGCACTTTACACTTACCTTGTGAAGAGGGAGGACGAGGAAAGCTCCTCCACCGCTGGCTTCAATAATTAAGGCAACAAACTTGGGGTTGACTGCACAGAAGGAGCTGTCCCATGTGACCCTTGACACCCGGATATCATCGTAGCATTGGTCATTTTTCGCCGCCTGGCCAAACACATGACGGAATTTGCTCGTACGTACAACTTGTCGACTCATATCTGTGCAAAGAGCAGAGGGGAAGATTTTGTGTTAGCAGTTTAAGAGCCGTACAATGAACCAACATATGGACAACTAGAGCTACTTGAAAGATCTGAGAACACAATACGGCAGCAAAGCTTTTAGAACACACGTAAGCTTTCTTTCCCACAACATATAATCCATTTCTTCACCCTCAGTGTGGCCATTACTGCTCCAGCCTCACTAAGGGTGTCCCTGGAATTTCTGGGCAACGTGGTGCCAACAATTTCAGCGTCACTTTTGCCACACTGCCCTTCATTACTCCGAGTGTAAGAATATAAAGCCATGTGGGGTTTTCCTCACCCCTGTGATCGCATGTAGAGTTCAAAACTGATCCCATAGAAAAAGTGGGTATATGGGGCACCTGTTACTAAACCAAATATCTATGGGGTTTAAAATGTTCCTAATTCACAAAGATGCAGCATAACAATAATAAACAACAAAACAAAAAGGGTGGATAATCTTCTCCTCTGCACTGTGCCGAATTATCAAACATCTGAAACACGCTTCTCATGGGTCACAGGGGGAAGGGGCCAGTTGCAAAGAAAATAGGATATACCCAATACAAACAGACTTTGTAGCTGGTTCAGCTAACACTTTCAACAGGACAGGAATATGCGGAAAACAAGCCCATTCAAAAGCTACAAGTCCAAATGCTTCGCCTAAAATAACAGACCACTTTCAAAGTTGACCGAGGTCCAATCTGACCTGCAACCCTCTCAAGGAGTCTTGGTTTTGTGAAACTCTTAGTTTTCGACGCAGCACATGGTAACAGTTTCCTAGCCTGAATCACCAACATGATAAAGGAGCAGCGCAGGATGTGGGATATGTTTTGGAGGTGGTTTCCATTGTGAATGTGTGTGTGTGTGTATGCATGTCCGTTTGTGTGTAAAGAGAGAGAGTGTGATACGGAGCAAGAGAGAACGGATTAGTGTAAGAGAGAAACTCTTGTATGGCATGTTTCCGACAGAACAAGGATCACAACACAAGCAGGAAGTTCTTCCTGCAGGGATATGGGCGTGTCCTAACAGCTCAAAGCTTTTGATAAAAACGTCGGTCATACCAACTGTTTATTTGTGATGTGTCCAATAGCAGGAAGTGTGCTAAAGGATACATTTGTTCACATTAGGAGTAAACAGTTAATGACACTTGAGTTTTAATCTTCCCTAAATTGAGGATTTGGTTTTTACTGAGTTACATAGGATTTATTTAATCCTACTCTGAATTGTCCTGGATCAGAAGTGCATTTCATCTATGAAACTGACTTTCATTTATTTCGGAAAGGCTGACGCACACTAAGTGCAATGAACTGAAATCCAAGGCAGAACTCCTCTTAGATGAATGATTGTTAAAAAGCTCAGTAAAGACATTTTGAAGGCAACAAAAGGAATCGCTCTTCCTTATAGTAATGTCACGATAGACGATTTGAGCTGCGGTACATTTTTTATATAAAAAACAAAACACTAAAAAAGGTTACAAAATGACACTTTGAAGGTCTCCTTGGTTTCCATAAGATTGATGCCAAGTTCAAAGTAAAATATGTGTTCAAACTATTTAATAATGTTAAGTAACAGTTCTAGAATGTTGATTTAAATTCTAGAATGTTGAATTACAAGTTCTAGAATGTTGAATTTAAAATTCTAGAATGGCAAGTTACAGTTCTAGAATGTTGAGTTACAATTCTAGATCAGGTCGATACTCAACAATGACCACTTTGTCATGAGGGATGAGTGAGGCTTATTTGCTTTCCTTCGGAGCAGCAGATTTGTCTCATAATGCTGCTGGAGTAGAAGCTACATGTGAAAGCACAACTAAATCAGAGAGAGACCTGTCTGGTGAGAGACGGAGTTACAGAGTTGGGTCAAAATCCAGCTCAAACTGCTTCTTGGGCTGCGTTCTGATATTGTTATGACTATAAAGGTTTTATTTAAAAGATTAAAAAAATGAATATTTACAATACAAACTATAAGTGAATCCTTTTATGATACTGTCCAGTTAACATACATGAGACAGCGCTCCTCAGTGCTGATGTTGAATGATGTATCTGTAGAAAACACCAGCAATCCTAAATGAGGAGCCACATGCATTAGATTTATTAGAGTTGATGAAGACTCCGCCCTTCGGTAGAAACTCCCCTCTACACTAAATGCTGATGTGCCCTAACGCAGTGAAGAGCCCCTTCCACTGATTCTCCTGGTACATATAACTCCACTACACCTACTGAGACAGAGCCAATCAGGACATCAGTCAGCATCCTTGTCAAATCAGGGATATAAATCAAGCACAGTTGGAAATATAACTTTAAAAAGTGATTAAGCCACAAAGCCAACCATTATGTGCATTACGTTCTGTCTACACAAACTGGACAATGAGGGATACTGTTCAGCTCAAATCCTTCATCCAACATGTCATGATTCAATTAAGCAAATATGAAATAAAAACCCTTTGAAATAAATTGGGTGAAAATAGGACATGGTCTGTGACCGTGACAAATACCATAGAATCAATCAATCTGTTTTTCTTCCTGAAAAGGACAAACGGGGAATAACGTATCCATGGTCAACTCAGTGGGAGGAGTGATAGTGAACTTAAGCTCTTACCTGACGTGTTTAGTTTCCTAACAGAAAACTATGCAGATAGTAATAAAAGTGTATGACGTATTGCATTAGATTCATTTTGTTTTTTTTCCCTGGTATTGAATTTGCTATTGAGAATCCTGAAAATTCACTGGTATTGGCATCGCATACTAGATTTTTTTTATTGTGATAGGAGGAGGAGGAGGAGGCTTGTGGCGCAGTGGACTAGTGCAGTCCGAACAATGGGAGACGGAGCTTTCTACTCATTCGCCCCGCGCCTCTGGAACTCCCTCCCAGATCAGCTGAGATCTGCCCCTTCCACCGAGGTCTTCAAAACCGGCCTTAAGACCCTCTTCTTTCGGCAGGCCTTCCAATAAAATTTGAGCATGGTAAACCTGGAGTACTGCCATTTTTAATCGCTATCTCCGACTTTTATTATTTGTTTTGAAATTATTATTATTATTATTATTTGTTTAATCTCTCAAATTGTATCAGTGTTCTTTGTTGTGAAGCGCTTTGAGATTTGTGTTGGCAGATGAGAAGCGCTATATAAATGTAATGTATTATTATTATTAGTGCGTTGGTGTTTGGATCAGGGAGCACAGGTTCAAACCCCACTGCAGTCAGCATGTCGTTGTGTCCCTGAGACACTTCACCCCAAATTGCTCCTGTGAGGATTGCCCACAGTATTGAGCATGTCAGTCGCTTTGGATAAAAGCTTCTAACAAATGACATGTAATGTGAAATCCATACTCTCAATTATTTTGTCAATACATTTAATTTGAGCTTACAAATCTGCCTTTGACTTTGAATAGAATGTAGATTTACCTACTCAATGAGATGCTTTTTTTTTTTAAATATATAAAAACAGTTCTAAAAATTCCCTTTATCCCACGGGCATAGCACGGGTGTATGGTTAGCTGCGCTCTGTCTCAAAGACATGTTTAGCAACACAGACATGCTGCCTAGCAACATCAGGGAAATACCAACACAGGAGAGGAAAACATTACAACCGTAAGAAATACAAACTTATGTTTTTAAAAAGGTACTTAAGATGTCAAATGTGAACAACCGTTAAACTTACATTTGAAATGACACCTGGCCTTGCAAAACATGACCACATTTAAAAAGGTTCAGGTTTCTCTACATGATTTTAGTTGCTGAAACATCCATTGGCAATGCGTAGTGCAGAGCAGCTGGAAGCCAGACCAATCAGCACACGAGATGAAGAGGTTGAGATGATGAGAGAACAAGCAGAGCTTTATTTTGAGTTGTTACAGAGCACATGGTGCCTCTCAACTATTGAACCTTGTGAAGAATGACTTAAGTGTTTCAGATATGAAAATCCAGCCTGACTGTATGGTCTATTTCTCACCTGAAATGTAACTCTTTCTGCCACACTATAGGAATGGGGAAATTGTCCTTTGCAAACAGCCACCTTGTCTTCGGAAAAAGCCAAGGGTAACCTATCAAGTCCAGTTTTATGATGGCGTTACTAAGGAGAGCCCTTTTAAATCATCAGTTTGTTTTATAAGGGCTTATCACCTCCATAAATGTTTAATGACATTGATGACACCTAACCCACGTAAATGCGTTGGATCTTTTACCATTCTTAAAAACAGAAAGATGAGTGAAACTATCCTGCTGCTCTTGACTCTGTACATTTGCAGCAGAAAAATACATTGTTTTATGTAGAATGTAAAATGTGCGGTTTCATCACAACAATAGTGTTTCTGGCCTTGACGAAACAATCACTGCATTCGTGAGGTTAGTCTGGGCCTGCACACAGATCCCCAGTCACTCAACCCTTTAGCTCTTACAGAAGGACATGTTCAACATCATATGTTACTCTTGTAATAATCAACTACTTTTAAGGGAACAAATCAGGACTAGTTCTGGACAAATATGCTTCGGATGATATCTTAATGTGACCTATGTTACAGTCACAGATAAAGGAGTCAATTATTCCTATGCGTTGTTGCTCAAACTGACAGTTTGGATTAAAGCCTCTATGAAGAGAGGGTTGGGCTATCGGTGTGCACGATGTAGGTCAGAGCAGACTGGGTGGGGTTCAGCTGACTATGCAACACTGCGTCTTGGTGAGTGTGCCTTGTTGTGTGGTAGCGTTGTTTCCTGACGAACCTTTTCAGGAAGAAATCACCATTTCTTAGTCACTGGACGCTCACCGTTGATACATGGGGTGAGACCATAGAAGAAAAAACATTAAACAAAAAAAGTAACATTAGGGCTAGTTTCCGGAAGGCAATCATTTATGTTTTTTACAATTTGGGAGTTCCCTCAATGTCGATCACGACTCCTGTGTCAGGAGCGTCGCACAGGCACATATACTTTTGACTCAACAGCTTCATTCCTGGACTCAAAATCAGAATAGCTGATAACTTCCG